GAGGATAAAACGCAAAATTGCTTGGGTGTCATGGGAGAAAATTTGCAGAGAGAGGGAAGAGGGAGGCCTAGGTGTAAGGAATATAGAATTGTTCAATAGAGTGATATTAGGCAAATGGAGATGGAGGTTGTTAAAAGAAGAAGATTCATTGTGGGGGAAGGTATTAGCAGAGAAGTATAATATTAATAGGAAAAATGAATGGGAGGGAGGTCCATAGAGAGGGGGTAGCTCAAGGTGGTGGTCTGATTTATGGAAGCTAGATAAGGATTACAACAGTGAGGGATGGTTTAGGATGAATGTGTTCAAAGTAGTTGGTGAGGGAAGTGAAACACTTTTCTGGCATAACATATGGGTAGGGAATGGCCCTTTAAGGAAAAATATGATAAATTATATAGGCTATCGAAGGATAAGGATGCTTTAATTTTTGATATGGGAGATTGGAGTGAGAGGGAGTGGCAATGGAGATGGAGATGGAGGAGGCCTCTTTTTGCATGGGAACATAATCTTTTGCAGGAACTTCAATTGGAATTACAAGGAGTGCAGATAAAACAAGGGCAACAAGACAATTGGATTTGGAAAAATAGACAAAATGAAGGATACTCAGTACAATCGGCATATAAAATGCTGTCATCAAAACCAAAGGAAGCAGAAGCTGCTGTTTATACTACAATTTGGAATAAGCACATTCCATTTAAAGTGACAGCCTTTGTATGGAGAGCACTACAAGATAGAGTACCCACAAAGGAAAATTTGTTTAGGAGAGGAGTTAAAATTCAGAATAGTGACTTCTCCTGTGCATAATGTGGACAAGTGACTGAGACCACAGATCATTTATTATTTGAATGTGAAAATCATGGCTGATTTGGACTTCATGCTACAATTGGTGGGGCATACAGGTGGTATCACAAAGAGTAGGCTGGAAACATATGTCACAACATTTTGGCTTAATATCTAGCAAATGCTTACAGAAGGCATGGGCAGTGGTTTGGTTTTGCATTGTATGGTCCTTATGGTTATGGAGAAATGGCCAAATCTTTCAAGAGGAGGCAACGACAATGGAAAAGGTAATAGAGCTTGTCAAATGCCAATCTTTTTTTTTGGATTAAAGCTAGTATCTGTTCTGATCTTGATTGGAATTCATGGTTAAAATCACCAATGGAAGCATGTAGGCTAAGGAATTAATCCTTGATTTGACTTCTTATATCTCTATTTTGTGGTATAAATCAATGAATTATAAGCTAATAACGGAGTATCTCTCAATGTAAATGGGTTTGGGATACCCCTTGTACTCCTATCAATAAAAATTTTTTTGCTGATAAAAAAAAAAACCAATGAAACATTCCATGCATTCTGTAAGGATGATTTTGTTTTTCCCTCTTCCAAAGTCAAATTTGGCCTAAAAGGAACCTAAGCTTGTTTGCTTCTTGCGTAGGCAACTCAACCCCTAGAGCCCATTTACTTGTCTTATCAAACATCTTAACTAGCCAAGATCGCAAATTGATAGCCTTGAAATCTGTTATAGAGGCAAAGATATACAGATTGCAAATCCAAATATTGAGATTAAGGTGGTTTTGTTGCCAGTTTTCAAGTTATTTAGTGAACGATTGTGGCGGAACCAATTATGCAACCTCAGCCCACCTTGCAAAAAGAAAAGCAGGTAGGGTATAGGGGCAAAAGATAAG